GCTGCTGGCCAGGGCCACTTCGGTACTGAAATGTGTCACCAGAGTGGACTCTATAGATGGAATAGTGCGTGAGATCGTGAGAAAAAATATGTTTAAAAAAATTCAAATCTCATATCCAAATTTTAGTTTTCCTAATTTTTTAAGAGTTTTAAATACCATGAAAAGATTTCAATTTTAAATGGTTCGAATTATTATTATTAAATAGCTTTAGATTTTACGTAAGAACTTTAATCCATTTATTGCTTAGAAAAATATTTCAAACACATAAAAAAAAAGAAAAAAACCCTTTTTCTTAATATTCAATTTCGGTTTAATTTTTTTATTTAAGATACCCTTCGTGTCACGATGCCATAACCCATCAATGCTAGCTCGTTCATCAGCGATCAACTTGTAAACACGACGAACAAACTGCTGGCTGTAAAATATTGCTGCATTTTTGATCACTTGTCATCCCTGCATGATGGACGATCGCAGCAGAACACAGCAGCACATCTCATCGGTGAATTTGTGGCCAGTGCCTCTCCAGATGCCCCCAATTCCTGAAGACCCTTCTTCGCCTGGAAGAACTGAAGGAACTGAAAGAACAGCTCCACTTCAGTGGCACTGCCAGTCTGAGTCCGAGTTCGAGTTTGAGTCTGAGGAGAATTCCGCAGAACCTGTTGACAACACTTGTGCGACAAGCGAAACGATCTCGCTTTTTGCCTCCGCTATTTATTATGTTTACTAGTGCCTTCGGCCTCGGCGATTCGATGGTGGAAAAAAGTGCTGGCCGAGGTGTCGATATCGCACAATGATTTTAATGATGGGATCGAACCGAAACCGCTGGGCACAAAAAAAGACACTGGGTCGAGCGGCCTGTTGCAGCAAATCGCTGAGATGCCAATGCTGATAATCAATAATTTTTATATTTTTGCCACACCGCCGGTCGGCTTTGCAATCCAACTCAAAGGAGTCCGGATATTTGCTGTGTCAGCTCACCCTTTGGCCAAAGGACAGCCAAAGGACATGACAATAATCCTTAATTACAGCTCACCCAGAGCCATCGAAATTCGAATCATAATTGGAGTTCAATGGAGAGGTGGAGATTTGTAATACAAATTTTGTATTCTTACTTTTATTTTAAAGAAATTAGCTATAAGCGCATTAAAATTTTAAAAAATATTCTAACTTACATTCTTCGTATAGTGATTTTCTGCGTACAATTTCATAACAACCTACCATATATAAACAATTATTTCAGGAACTGGAATCTTTTATACTTGCACAAGGCTCTGCCACATCCAACAAAATCTGAGTTCATAAATCAAGTGGAAGATGGGTTTCGATAAGGCAAGTGGCTCCACAATGCTTATGGAAATGTAATCATTTCTAAACATATTGTTCGCATAACAATTTCTTAAGTCTGTCAATATTTTTTTTCTGTTTAAGAAGCCTTGACTCTCCGAATGTCTGAATTGGGGAGTCTCTTTCCATTATGCAGTCACCTTTGATTCAACGTTTTGGTATTCCGTATGCAAAACAAATTGACAGCCAAAGCGAGATTTCCTTTCAGGACTTTTGGCGCAAACACTCGATGTGCGATAGTGTCAAGTGGAAGGTCTCCTGTGACTACGACAGACTTAACTTAACCCTTTCAGGGGGAGAGCAATGCCACATATTCTTTTATTAATGTCAAAAAAGAGTAGTGGTACATTTTTGCGTGGAAAAGTGCCAACAATTCCATCAAAGTTCAACCCTTTGAGTGCTGAATTTTCCTGTCACGTCAAGAGAGAGTTCCCCTGTCCTTACTTCACACATTTTCCCCCAAAATGAAAACATCGAAATCGCATTCAGCTGATTAGGTTCGAGGTGTCGTCGTCTGGAGTGGAAATTGGTAAATTCCATTGGTAATGGTGATTGCGAAACCGCTTACGACTTGGCATGGAGTGCACACAGGATGGAATCAATGTCGGCAATTAAAAACCTGGCCCAGAATTTCGCAACTGGAGGGGTAAGGATATAGGCAAAGCAATTCCTGGAAAGACAACTTGATGTGCAATAAAACTGGTGGCTTCTGCGAGCCAAAAAAGGAGACCCCCAGGAAATGGCGGTTGCGAAATTGGATTTCTGACCCTTTGGCCAGCCATGTGTGAAGGTCCTTTGGCCATTTCTATTTGCATCTAATACATAAACATAATGCGTTAATTTCAAAGGAAGCTGGCAAGGAGAAAAAAATATATGCAAACAAACGAAAAATATTTCCTTTTTTTTCTGTGGTTGGTAATCAAATTTGCGATGTTGTTTTTTTCTTTCCTTTTTTTTTTTTGACTGGCACATCTTACTGAATTGCTTGGCCGGGTAAATTCCCGGGGGATTTTTCGGGGGGTGACCGCAGGACAGGACACAGGACATGAGCGATACAAATAAACAAATGATGTAAATTTCATTTTCCAGGACTTTGAATTGCTCAAATATGAAAATATGAAAAGCCAGGCCCTTAAATAAATTACAGTAAATTTATTTCGCAGTCGAAGGTGATTCTGAAAAAGCCCGAAACTATTTGGAGAGAGACCCCCTTTTTATGGGAAATATTAGATTCATCAAAGTTCAGGAGATTTGCATTTATTTCACATTTGTCAAGGACCAGCTGCTGCCAAAAAGGGTCTTAAATGTCAGCCTCATCATCGGACTGCCGGTGCAGACATTAAAAACCACTTTTCGAAGCCGGAAAATCCTCAAGCTGATTGGCATTAGCCAAATACGTATGGAATGGAAATGAAAATAAAAAATGTCAAATAATTCCGAGATTCACGCAGAAAATGTCAATTTCAATTTGAGGCCCTGAATGAAATGAATGATTCGGTTTTAATTCTGGCGGAACGTAACGCAGGTTGTCCTGGGGATTTTCCGGGTGGTGAGTCTGGCTTTCCCCAGTCGAAGATGGAGTTTTTCTTTTGGCACGGCTGCAACCATAAAATGCTTTAAATTAGCATATTAATAGCTTCGATAGCGTTAGTTTATTCGACTTGAAAATCAGGAGATCATACGCACATACTCATCCTGCCGCACAGGATACTCGCGGGTGCCATAAAAAATTCACACAACAGCAATTCTGCAGCTCAGATCCCAACGATTAAAATTATGCAAACGCATTATCTGCGTAGCCTGCATTTCGGGATGGAATGAGTTGGGAACGTATCTAGGGAGCCATGGGCCGTAAACACTCAATATTCGTTGCCGCAGGATCTGATTCTTTACGAAAGTAAATTGCCTAGGCAGTCTCTATGCAAATGTGGAAATCGCACGGAGCACTTAAAACAAATCCAGATAGAGACATCTGGGAAAAAGCGGGAAAAACCTATTAGAGTTCACTTACCCAGAGGTTCATAAATCAAGTGCTAAGATTGGTTTCGGGATACGGCATGTGAGGCTAGCATACTTATGATGTTTTAATTGCTCTATGACACTTTTCCTGGACCTTATATTTTTTTTGGGAAAATTTGTTGTAAAAAGGATTATCAACAGCAATAAATTTTGAACAAAAAAACTAAAACAATATCCAAATATGAGTAAATCAAATGTGGCAGAGTTTTGGAAATATCCCATAAATTTCTTAAACGTTTAAACACTTGTTCTGAGCTTATCAATATAATGATTTGAATACCACACAAAATTTTAAAGAATGTATGGTGAATATGCACATTTATAATGAGATATTAGACAGAATAATTCATTGTATATTTATTTTATGAGTAGTATAAAAATTACCTCATAACTCATTTATAACTTAAAGGCTAGAAATGTAGATACTCAACTATTTTTAAGGACTATCCAACGGACACAGGTCCGTTAACTTCTCAACTTCCCTCAGTTTTCATGGGGGGATTGATGATTGGGGGAGGGGCTTTTGGATGGGGCAAGGATGTTGTATAGAGTGCAGGACAATTACCACAACCGCCGGCCGGGAAACTGCAACTGTGTGCGCTTTGCCTATCTTGCTGCCTATTCAAGTGTCCATTTTTAATTAACACTCTGACAATTTGACGCGAAATGCATTTCGAGTGAGTGTACAAGTGAGTGTGTGTGAGTGAGTAACAACGTGTGTCCGTGTGCAAGGACTAATACTAATATTGCTGCCACTGCGGCAAAGGATGCATATGCATGCCGATGAGCCTTTGGTTTTGTGGGGAGCTGAGAGCTCTGCGCTGAATGTTTAGAATGCAATTGACGTGTCAGAGGGCAAATGCCCGGGGGCAGGGGCGTACGAGGGGGCGCAGAAGGGGTCAGGACATCAGACAATAAGGGGGTGTGGCTGATAAATGTTGCATGCGCCTGTGTAACCCAATTACCGCTCTGCAAATTACCCACACCGGGTCCACAAAGGATTCCTGGAGTTATGGGGGGCAGGTCCACAACATTCCTAGACTCGCTTTGCATAATTGATGACAAATTGAAATCATGTTTATGGCATTCAGGCTGGGACATTCCATAAAATATATTTTACATAGATTTTGATGCGGACAGTCTTCGCCTCAAACCCATCAGGACTTTCCCTTTTCCTCGACTTTTTTGGCCTGCCACATACATTCTATGCATAGGCCATAAATCCCGAACTGGCCAGGCCAAATCAAATGGCCAATGGATCAATTTGCGGTTGATGGAGCTTAGCCGCTTGAGTCTTCCTCACGGGGCTCGTAAATCGCAATGAGTGGGGGCCATAAATTTTCAATTGGTCAGTGGCCGAGGAAAGGGTGAAGTAAAGGACCTTCCAAAATAACAAAAAAAATCTAGCTGATATTTAAGGACGATTTTCCCAAATAGAGGTTAATTATATAAAAAAAGCAAAAGTTCCTAAAAATAGCATGTACAAAAATTGATTTCTTAAAATTTAACGACTATTAAGCATTAAAATAAATTAGTAAACAATAGGAATCCAAACAGATTGTAAGAACAGGGAGCTAAAACTCATCTTGAAATTCAAATTGTAAGTTTAACATCTAAAATTTCCGGCTAGCAGGGTCATCTATTGAATCTCGGCCACAAGATGTCCATCACGATGAAGCGAAAGACGGTGATCTCACCGACAGAACTCCTAAAAACCCTCGAGTTGTCCGGCGATGAGGACCTGGACCTGCAGATCAAGAACTGGGTGATGTGGGACCGCAACGAGGCGACGCTGCACCAGGTAACCGAGGCGGTGAAGGATCAGGACTGGGAGGCTCTGCGGGTGAGGTTGTGCCGCAGGATCACCTACTTGGCCACAGGTTTGAGGGGCGGAATGCGAGCGGGTTTTGATTCCTTGAACGACGTGGTGATCATCGAGGTGGCCCAGGGCATCTGTGCCTACCTGCTCGACGTCTATCCGAGCATCCAGAAGCGGCAAACGCAGGGCGTTGTCGTCGGCTACGATGGCAGGTACAACAGCAAGCGGTTTGCCCAGCTCATTGCCACTGTGTTCCTGAACAACGACTTCAAGGTGTATCTCTTCACCCGGATGACCCCGACGCCCTTTATTCCCTTCACCATTGTGACGCTCCAGTGTCTGGCGGGGATCGTGGTCACCGCCTCGCACAACCCGAAGGAGGACAATGGCATCAAGGTTTACTGGTCGAATGGGGCTCAGGCGATGGCTCCGCACGATCAGCGAATTCACGACTACATGCTAAATAACCTGGAGCCAAAGCCTTCGTCCTGGGAGACCTCGGTGGTACTCGATCACCCGCTGGTCGAAGATCCCTATCGTCAGATATACCCGCTGTTCTACGAGACTCTCAAGAAGCTTCTGCCGCCGATCTATCTGGAGACCAACGAGTGCAGCCAGCTGCGATTCATCTACACGGCTCTCCACGGCGTGGGTTATCCCTTCATGAGGGAGGCCTTTTACCAGGCGAGACTTAAGCCAGTTATTCCCGTGGTCGAACAGAAGGATCCCGATCCCGAGTTCCCCACTCTCAACAAGCCAAATCCAGAAGGTGAGTAATGGTTAAACAAGATTTAGGAAAGTCGTATTATAAGATTGTTTTGGGTAAAATTAAAATTATAATAAAATATCTTTGCTTAAGGAAAATCGTATTATATAAGTGTAAAATGGGATTAACCACTATTTCGTTTTGTTTAATTCTGATAAAAGTAAGTAATCTTTCCCATTAAGGGCCGTTTTCTCGAGTGCCGGTTAAGATAACAGCTAGTTAAACAAAGTTAATGACTAGCTTTACTTTTATATATTACATTTTTCTGATTTTTATTTTCTTTTATTTATTTTATTTTATTTTTTGTATTTCTTTAAAGTTTTTTTTTATAATTTTATTTTAGAGGGCAGGGAAGCCCTGAAGCTGGCCATTAAAAAAGCGGAGTCGGAGCACTGCACCCTGGTGCTGGCCAATGATCCCGATGTGGATCGCCTGGCCGTGGCGGAATTGGATCCCCGAGGTCGCTGGAAGCTGTTCAATGGCAACGAACTGGCCGCTCTGTTGGGATGGTGGGCCCTCGAGAGCTACAAGACCAGGACACCCAAACCGGCTGTTCCAAACTGCGTAATGATAGCCACACTAGTGAGTTCGCGAATCCTGGCAGCAATGGCGAGAGTAGAGGGATTCGTCTTTGTGGAGGGCATGCCGAGTTTTCCTTGGATGGCACATAGAGCATTAGAACTCCAAAAATCGGGTAGGATGGTACTCTTCGCCTTTGAGGAGTGTTTTGGCTATATGTTCGGGATGAGCCTGCCGGATAAGGATGGCATTGGAGCAGCCATGCAGTTGGCCACCATGGCTTGTTATCTGCGGAGCACCAGGAATGTAACGCTGATCGAAAAGCTGAGGGAGATCTACGATACCTATGGTTATCACTCCTCGATCTCGTCACTCTTTATGGCCGATAGTCCGGATACAATCACCACTATCTTCGAGCACTTGCGCAACTTTACTGACGAAGGAGGTTATCCCAAGTGCATTCTGGATGAGGAATTCGAGGTGGTGCATGTCCGTGACTTGACCACCGGACTGGACACCTCCTTCGGCGACGGAAAGGCTCGTCTGCCCGTGAACCCCGAAGCTCAGTTGATCACCTTTACGTTCACCAATGGTTATATGGTCACCCTTCGAGCGGCTGCCAACGATATCAAGATCAAACTTAATGCGGAGATCTGCGGTTTGCCGGAGGAGAAGAACTGGGATGAGCTGCACGAGAAGCTCAACCGGATGACCAACGCCGTCGTGGAGGAGTTTCTCCAGCCCGAGGAGCATGGTCTCACCGATTCTTCAGTAATTCAATAGAACTCGTTTTTTTAAACAATAAAGGACAATTAAACATACAAATAAGAATAAAATAGGAATAAATGAATTAAATAAGAAACTAGAAATAATATGCTATGGGATTTGTGATAAGGTAACTTAAAAATTACATTTTCAAAAACATTTTAGATATTTAAACTAGATTTAAAATAGTAATAGGAAATAGGACAGTGTAGGCTTTGTTTCTTGGGTTAAGGATCACCTCTATTTTATTTAAGAATGTATTTTAATCATAAAATCTATAACAACGTTCTTGTTTGTCATGATTCACTGAACAGATTTAAGGGAAACCTTTAGCTTTGCCTATTAAAGTGCGGTGAAAATGTCTTAGGTGAAGATGGGGAGCTGGAAAAGCCGCAGAACGCCAATTAAGCGTACACAGAAATTGCCAGCCATGTGGGTTATGTGAGCCAAAAAAGAAGAAGGCCAAACATGGCCATCATCATCATCCTTTGTCTCCTTTGCCACCGCACACAAACGTATTCGTATCTGTATCTCTAACCGAGCGAAAGTATCTCGGCAAGACAAACACTGAAATTTTATAGTTTGCCTGCTAATTGCACTCTGGGGGTGCTTTCACCTCCCACACCGCCCCCTTTCGAGGCCGCTCCACCCCCTTGATTGTGTGGTAATCGCTTCCGATTGTGCGATTCAGCAAAAGTCAGCACACATAATGAAAACAGTGATTAAGAGTTGGCCAGGCCATCATAAAAGTCGTTTGGAAGTCACTCACAAGTACGAGGCTTATTGTTTCACTTTGGTTTTCGGGGTCCTCATTCACATACATATCGTACTCGTATTTGTTTAACAGGTCAAACGGAATATTTCAATAGCTTAAAAACGTAGAGTGCTCAGGTAAACACGGCGATGATCCCCGAGGTCGTCGTCAAGTCAAATTTCATTCAAGACAAAAGGTTGGCTCCCACATCCTTCTGATATACTTGCCTCTTCCATGTGGCCATTAAATTTTCCCTAAAATACATACTCGAACCGGGATCCAAACGCACACGAATTAAATATTAATCCCTGTCGACGAGTGGGTTTCTTGTTTTTTTCCTACTCTTTTTTCGGATGGGTTCCGCCACGTTTTACACGGTTAGTGGCGATGCGCCAAGGTTAGTGCATTATTAAGCACTGTTTATGCGACATTAGGAACATAAAAGGCGACCCAAAGTCGATGTAAATAAGACACGGGCCCCTGGCAAATCAACAAAATAAAACGAATGTCCCACATGTGGGTGGGTGGGGTTTTGGGTGAGCTTCGAAAATTTGGATACTGCCATTAAAATAACTAAGGGGCTTTTGGGCTGTAAAAGCGGAAATATGAAGTGAGATATGTTTATGTATTGGGGATGGATTTTTGGTGGATTAAAATATAAAACTTAAGATATTTTAAAGAATATTTTAAATTGAACGTTTCTTAAAATATGTGATGTTGTTTTAAGTAAAACATGTATTGAAGAAATATTTAGTGAGAAATATTATTAATATTTTTTAAGCCAGATGAAATTTGATTCTCTGATTTTTTAATAATAAATATAATTTTGGTTTTAATTTTTTTTAATCGGCCACATGATATATTCCCGTTTTGAACTCGTTGCAGCCGCACAAATTGAATAATAATCCGTTTGCTATGCACAATACCCTAACAATTCACATTCACCAATAGGATTTTGAACATCCTGGCCTTGTGGCACACATATGTTGTGGATATTCTGTTACACCAGCCCGGCTCAATCCGAAGTCCGTCGTAATGAGGAGCGACCGTAGAACCACCCCCGGGTCCTCGAATGGCTACAAAAAAAAAATACGGGGTGCCATGAGCACTGGGACAATAGCATCTTAAATTCGCATTCGAAATGAAGCGAGCGGTGGTAAATTGATTACGTGCCACTTGCTCACATCATCAATTTCAGTCCATATGCGCGAAAATCCTTTGACTAACGAGTGCCACAGGACACAGGATCCCCGGCACCCACAAATTGTTAGTTGACACTCGAAATTTCTGGTGTTCAGCATCGTTAATTAAGAGCATTTGTTGACTTCCGGAAGCGGCGACCACTTATTTGCTGTTTGTTTTTCTTTACACCCGATTTCCTGCGGTTCCGAGGGAGGCAGTTTCATGATTTTAATCAGAGGAGTATACATGTTGATAGCTGAGTGATATCAAGTGTGAGACGCTTAAATTTTTTTACAAAAGTTAAGATTCATCTAGTGGAAATAACATTACTCCTTTGTGAACTAAATTATTTCGGAATTTTTGGATATATTCTGTTTTTTATTCTCTTTTTTTTAAACACTAAGAGTTATCTTATATTTAATTCCTATTTCTTTTGTTGTGTAATAAAAATTGTATAGTCTTATAAACTATCAGAAATAACACCATCTACGGAAATTTTTTTGAAAGTACAAGATTTTTTTAATTAACAATTCCTTTCAAAATAATAAGTTGTAAAGCTTTTGTAGTTATAGAAATATAAAAAAAAATTTTAAAGAACAATAAATTAGATGGTAAACTATCTAATTTTAAACTATCTATTTACCCTAAAATAAATTTTGAAAATTTTGTTTAGAGTTCTAAAAATTGTAATCATAACTATTCTAATTTGTTCCTCCCATTTTTTGTAAATAAATAGTTTTTATGTCTATAATAAATATTAATTCAATCAATAATTCATCAGTTTCATGGCAGCTGCAAGGATCGTCGTCCTTCGCGTTTTCCCCCTCACTCCCTCTCGCCGCATCTCTTTCTAACAATTTGTTTTTACTGCTTTATTGTTTTCGTTTTTGTCGCATAAAAATGACAACAAATTAGTTTGGCTGCCGTCGGTGGTTTCCCGCTGGGTTTTTCACAGTTTTGTTCGATATCCGTTTGTTTGTATTTCGTTTGTTGATTTTTTTTGCCTGTCTTTGCCGACTCTGTGTCCTTGAGTGCTGGCCAATAAATTATGTGAAGGATGCTGTCACTGCAGCGCCTCACTCCCCTAAAATCGTCCAAATCGGGCGGGGTTAAGGCTAGGGATCGGGGTTTATTTTCGAATCCGGCGAGGGCGCGACGTGTTTTTGATTAGCTTTATTAAATATGCAAACAATAAAAATGCTGTCCTGTTTTTTCCGACTTTGTTTTTGTGCACAAAAGTGTAAAATTCGTCGGAAGCTTAATTGCCGGAACATTTCTATTAAATAAACTCAAAGGTAGATGCAAAAAAAAAACGGAAAAAAATCATAAATTTAATATGCATTGCTTACAGTCTTTCCGTAGAGCAGCCACAACCCTCCGGATTTCACGGTAAACAAATTGCTTGTAATGCATTTTAATTCTGTTTGGTTTTTTTCGTCTGGCTCCTGCAATAAATAAAATTTTTTTAGACCGATTTGAAGTGAAAAGTGCTCATAATTTAGCTCAGAGTCTTGGGTGCGACTAACAAATTTACATTATTTTCCCGTGTGCGGCAGCTGTATGAATATTTGAATTAAAGGCTGTTTTTTTTTTAGCTTGGCCGAATGAAGCTCAGAAGTCAATTTGGTCACTTTCTTTTTTGCTCCAATTTCTTTTACTTCTAGTCACCAATAAGAATCAACTGTTGTTTCAAAGAGCAATTTGCAGCGACTAAGAGAACGACGAAACAGAGTCGAATCCGAAGAGAATTGCGAACTGCTTTATCGACGGGCTCTTAGTTGAACAGCTTATTGAATGCTTTTAAGCGCTTGTTAATTTTAGGGATTTTTTCACCATAAGATTTGATAGCTCATATTATTATGATGTATATTATCATGATATTATTATGATATATTATGATGATTATGATGTTGTTATTATCTTTGTTATTAGTAATTTTTATATTCGATAGATTATAGTTAAGTTTAATTACCTGCCTTTTAAAGAGCATACTTTCATTATTAGTTAGTATTATTATTATTGAGTCTTTTTCTCTAATCATTTCTTTTTAATTGCAAACAAACTTTAAAAACAATACTTAATATTTCACCTCACATTTATTTATTAGCAAATAGGCAATATCCCAAAAAAGACTGAAATCTAAGATTTAATGTTTGTTTGGTTAGTCGTTGCATTGTCATCCATTTTGAAAAGTGGGTTCAATAGAAAGGGGTCCGAAAAGTGTGTGGAAATGTGAAAAAAAGAGTTACGAGAAATGGAATGGATGAGAAAATGTCCCAAGGGAAACGCAACGGAAATCTATGTCTGCATATGGAGATGCTATTGCTCTTATCCCTGCTGCTGCGTTGTTGTTTTCATTACAGTTGCCATTATTTTGGGTGGATTTTTCACCCTTTTGCAAGGACACTACCTTCCAATTACCCCCCGCATGTGGAAAAACAGCAACAAATAACTGAAGCGTCAGAAAAGTGCACATATTGCATGAAAAAGGGTTCATTAGCAACATCAATTAAAGTTGGAGATCCGAAACTCAGTTAGGAAGGTATAATTATATTTCAAGGGTTATAAATGGGTCGGAAATTATTTTAAACATTATTAATATAATATGGTTCCCTCAAAAAAGTTTAGGTTTTTGGTTTTTAATGGGTAGCTAGCAAAGTTTATAAAACCTTTACTTTATTTTTGTACAAAAATAAGTTAATTATTTAAATAATAGAACCTTTTAGAGATAAACTATATCTTAAAATATTTTAAGCTACTTCAACGTATCTTCAATAAATTCAACAACGTCTTCTTCATCCTTTCAGATCTTCATCAGTTGTTTGCTTCCACTTTTTCCATCCATTATTCCCAGCAATTCTGTCAATCTCCCAGGGAAAGGGGAAAGCTCTCAGGCCTTCTGTTTTCCCTCTTTTCGACTGGGTATTGTTTAACAATTAACGGAACAAGTTGTTTAACTTTACCTAAACGATTTAAGTCAACAGAGCTCTTTACTCTGCCTCCTTCACTCCGCTTTATCCTTCATTCACTCCGTGGACCGAATGTCCTCGTCACTTGGTCATCGGCGGAAAAAAGAGGAGTGATGCCAGTAGGCAGTGAGTCCTGGCAGTGCTTCCGCTTCCGATGACTGCACAAATCGTTGGTCTCCTTTTTTGCAGCTCCATTTACATTTTTTTGCCAGCTTTTTTCCTGCTCCTTCCTGATGAAATGACAGAAATTTGTCAGGAAACAGTTCGTTTTGTTTGGTTCTCGTTTGGCGGCACTCACCTGACCCACCTGCCCATCTCACTGCTTCTCAATCTCTTCCGCCTGAACCTTTTTGTTTGCTTTGGCTTGAATGCCAAAAAGTGCTTAAGACTACTGCTCTTCATGGGCAGAGATAAACTGGTGCAAAAATTACTTGTATGAAAAGAAAATAATATGAAATCAGGCTTATTTTGTTTTCCTTTTCCCACAAGGTTTTAATTAAAGGTTCCAATTAAAGTTTTTTAACAATCCAAACTTGCAAAAAACAACATATATTTTATAATTTTAATATTTTCCTAATTTAAAATATAATTTAACAATATAAAAAATGTATTAAATAAAAAAAAAATAACAGTCATATATAAAATATTCCGATTTTTTAAAAGGCATAAGGTTTTTGTCCACTTTGTCGGCTTAAATAAAAAAATGGTGGACTATCCATATAAAATTTTATTATTGTAGACTAATCACATGTTATTAGCATATTTAATTTTCGTTTCTAGCGGAATCTTTTCTTGGAGATAATATCTTAGATCCAAACATTAAATGCAGTTATACATATTTTTAGAACTTTTACCCCCTAAGGAATAATTTATAGTGACTCCCATGAACCACAGCTCCTTGCATTTCTGCCCACCCACAGTCTGTGGAGGGATTCCTGTGGAACTGGCAGCGTGCGGCTTCAATAATTAAATTTGCGACATTTCAACGCTCCAGCGATCAATGGAATGGAATTAACTGTTGTCAATTATCCGTCGCTGCTTTCATGCCTCTAAATAGCAAATGCTGCAAAGGCAAAAACCGAACCAGAAGCAGCGAAAAAGCAAAAGGCAAAGCCAAGAATTGCCGACAATAAAATGTCACTTGATCGCTGCATTGGCGCTCGTGTCCAACTGAATTTAGGCATCGCCGGCGGTGGTCACTCTCTGGAAATCGCCAATGGGATCGGAATCGGGGGGAGAGAATGATGTGTAGGTACACTTTAAAAAATTAGGAATAATAGAGCCAACACTATATATATCTGAAGTGGATATCATTAGCAAAATATTAAAATTTTGGAATTTGTTGTTTAAAAGGTACAAGTAATACTGAATCCTTTGAAGTAATAAAAATTTGTATAAAAAATTAACTTTCTTTCAAAATAGAAAACACAGAAAATTGTAATTTTGGGTATTTTCATATTTTTTTAAATTTTTTTCTGTGTAGCCAGGGTAGATGGAGAAGAGGCTGGGTGGTGGTGGTGCTTACCTGACCAGGTGGCGTCGATCTACCGCAACGCTTGGCCACACAAGACGCTTAATTTGTTGCAAGTTGTCCGCTGTCTCCGCTTGACTCCCCATCAATCAGCAGACGATTCTTCAACTGGAATGGTGCAAGAACAAGCAGAAGAATCGCTTTTTGCGACAGTCCCGTTTCATCGAAAATTCAGAGCACGCGAACTGAAGCATGTTCTTTTGATTTCCCTCCTTATCTATCTCTTTGCATTAAGCTTTCATTAAAGTTCTAAAAAGCCTTTAATTCTTCATTAACTAAAGCCAGCTCTTATATCAACCATGGTTTGCCAGATGAGTAAGCTCTCTAAAAACCGGATTCTACACATGATTCAACATTTTTCTTTTTCGCAGCCAAAGTCAAAGGTTCAATCATGCAATAATAAATTGTATGAGCCATTAACTAAATTTAGTGATTTCTTATGCTTAGAAATTCGTAGAAAAGGTAAGAAAAACACGCAGAGGAAACGTGAACTTTAATTACAATTAGTGTGTACTAAAAATATACCATTATGTTATGGACTTTAATGTTTTCCACTTCCAAAAACTATTTTTATTTGCATCTTTGTTTTATTCTTATAAGTTCCACTGATATACCGATTCTCTTAAGAAATGCACAAGTCCCTGAGGATATATAGTACAAAAAAGTCTTTGAATAATCATAATTTATGCATAGTTGAAAGTTTCAAGCACTTATGATGAATTAATCTCTCTAACCGAAACATCCTTAACCTTCTTGTGGCCCTCCCCTAATTAACCCTTAGCCGCGCTCCACACATGCCAGCCACTCTAATGAAAATCTATCGCAGTCGGCGCAGGTCTCGCTGAAAAAGTAAATTCATTACACTTTCCCAATTATGTGAGATACATTTTAATAATGGAGGCGGGAAAACCTCATCTTAATCAAGTAAATTAATAGCAGCGAGAAGGAGCGAGTTGCCAGTCAGAGATCAAAGTAATTAATTATAATAATTAAAAACTTTTTGGCAGTCTCTGCCTCGTTCTCATCTTCGCACTGGAGTTCCCACAAACTTTTCAACATTTGCATGTGGTGGGAGTGTGAATGAGCAAGAGAGAGTTGGATGTTGTGTTCAAAAGTGCGTGCACCTGTTGAGATTTCAGCAATTCCCCAAGCAAATCCCATATTCACATCGTGTTCGGTACTCCTCCGACTACCTTTTCCGACTTTTTTACCCCATTTTGTATCCCTATTGTTGAAAATTGTAGTTTTTGTCACAGCTCCTTTTTCTTGTTTTTAGAGTGCACTAGTTTTTAATCATCGCTAACAGCCTTGGAGGCTGTGAAATTCCGCTTGGCTGCCCTAATACACTTGAAGCATTTACCAACACTGCCTGCCACGCCCCCTGAAGCACACCCACATCCGCCCGATTAACCCTCACGCCCACCGGCAATTGTTTGTGCCCAGCGGTGCAGGAACTGCGCACTTCTCGCCGTCCCTCTTTCACTCACAGTGGCGTAAGCAGGATATTTGTGCTAAGAATCCCCATTCAGAAATTGTTTTACATTTTTTGGGATGATAATAAATAAAAGTAAAATTGTAAAATTTAAGTGTTTAAAATAAAGTAATGCATATAAATGAAATAATGTCCATTTCTCAAACACCCAAAAAAAATATTTACCATGAATTTTAAAAATTCATATCTAATGTTAAAGTTATTGTGCATTTTAAAACAATTTTGTTTCATGTAGTAAATTTACTTAAATTTAACTTTATAACTTTTTGCTATAGTAGAAGACAATTTTTTAAAATTTATAGAAACAATTATCATTACTTAAATATTTCCTATAATTACGGTTTTAAAGGAGTTCTATACCAAAAATGTAATATCCCCTTAAATAAAAATCTACAAACGCCTCTGTGTCACTCACTCCCACTATCCATCTCTTTTTGCTGCGAGATTAAGCTTGAACTGAAAGAGGATGAAGGATATAGGATGCAGGTTACAGAAAAGTGCTTGCAGGATATGGAATGTGGGATGCAATCATCTAGAGTGTGCAAAAAAAGAGCACTTCAAAAGTGGGAGCGACAGCAACCGCAATGAATAACATGCGACATCTGCAATTGGGCGTGGAAGTGCGCCCACTTGGAAGCAATTAATTGACCCAACCAAATGGCAAGCGAGAGATAAAGGGAGGTAAGAAAAGAGTTTAGTAAGGGTGAAAATATCTTGAAATCTTGAAAATAAAATTGGCTTATATATTCTGAGCTCTACCTTCCAGTTCTTCTATGGTTTTGATTAAAAAATAGCTAAAACTCAATTAATTTATTGAGTTAAATTAAATTCCACCCCTTTGCAAGTAAAACCATGCGTTTAATTAATTTACTTTACTTTAATTTATTAAGTTTTACTCCTTTACACTCGAAAATCACTAAATTCTAAGAAGATTCTTAACCAGAGTAATTGTCCTCGGTCTTCTGGAGGTTGAGGACACCGGACTGATCGGTGGCTCCATGGATGGTGGTCACCTTCTGGTTGCCATTGGCATCGATAGTGGTGACGGTCTGGTGGACTTGGGTGGCGGGAATGGCGCCAGTTCCGTAGCTCTGCTGATAGTTACTGGTGCTTCCGTATCCGGTGTTGGTGTTGATCGAGGAGGCGGTGTTATAGGCGGGGGTGTTTGCTCCAGCGTTATAGGCGCCGTTGTTGTAAGCACCATTGTTATAGGCACCATTGTTGTAGGCACCGTTGTTGTTGTAGTTGCCGGTTGCAGAGTCCTCACCGAAACGGCTATCAAAGCTTACGCTGTAAATAGATTGTGACATTCATAACTGATACTATTGATATTTCCATTTTTTTAAACTTACGCAGCAGGAGCAGCCGCCTGTTGAGTGTAAGATGAGCCTGCGGATCCGGAACCATCGGCATTTTGAACGGAATGCGAGGCAAAGGTGACGGTGCCGCCATTTCCACTAGAGGAGGAGGAGGAGGATGAGGAGGAGGACGAGCTGTAGGTCTGGCGACGCAGGCGCCTCAGCAGATGAGCATTCACTGGGTGGACATCAGACTGGTGACCCTGAGCATCCAAGGTGAAGAAGGCACGGGGCAGGAATTGTCCAGCTACAAAAAAATAATATAGAAAGTTATTAATTATTTATTTATTCTGTCATCAAAACTATGAGCACCACAGTATTTTGCGGTTTGTGGGCGTCAGACGGGGCGTGGCACCTTGATGAAACAAACTTGCGCTGCGCAGGAATATTAAGTATCTGCATTCCTTATCCCGACCTTCTAGCTTTTATAGTTTAAGAGATCTCAGCGATCATACGGACGGACAGACCGAGATCTACTAGGCTAGTGATCAAGAATATGTAGCATAGCGAATTTATGCCTGATAAAAATTTGTTTTAATTTTAAAAATAAATAACAATTTGGTAATTCCACTGTTTATGCATAAAAAGTCCCGAAAGTGTGCTAGCAAACCAAAATCTGCATTTTAAGTGTGAAAGTTTGTCCACTCTCCAAACGCGTGAATGGCCAAACCTAATGCGAATATGAATAGCTGAATTATTCGAGAAAAAAACAGAAACTGATGTGCGGAAAGTTTCGGGGGGCAAACATTGTCGCAAAGTTAATGAGCCAGCGAATTTCTCAAACCAGTTTCGGGTTCCGGATGGGTTCGATAGGTTTTTGGGTATTATTAACATACCCGAACCCGTCGACCACCGACTTGTTAATCAAATTAATAATAAACATGATAGCGCAGCCTTGGCTGGCGATGATGTAATTGTAGAACCGGCCCTAAGCACTCCACTAATTATAATTACTCATTAATTTTTACTCACCGGAAGAGGCCGAAGCGGCAGTAATCGCAAACAAAGCGATGGCAATCACGGCGTATTTCATTGTGGAGCGGGGGAATCTGTGAAGACAGTTTAGCACTTAGTAGGGGTATTTCACGGGGGGATTATCTCTATAGTTTAGCACTCACAAAGACGAACGAAAGACTGAGGCAGCAAACGCGTGAAAAGTTCCAAAACGACTAAGCTCGCGGTGCGGCTGTCCGGCGCTTTTATATGGAAATTTTCAGAGCTGACGTAGTGCGAACCATCAACATCATTATCATCTAAAGGTGGAAGAACAAGCAGAAGCCGTCAAACAAGCAGAAGAGTTGGGCAAATAACTCCACCGGTAGAATCAACAATAAACAAAAGAAGCCAGGCTATTAAAGATTTTTAAAAACCTGCGGCTGGTGCTCATAAAAATAAAGTTAGGCCCAGTGATTCATAAGCCTTAATATAATATCACCTCTCTCAGTTGACTTTCCTCTCTTTCTTCTTCGGCAGTTTGGTTTTTCTCACGAATAAATCCCCCAAAAAGTTAATGATAATAAAGAATACATGACGGAGCTGCAAAAACTGGCGAACTGGGAATTTCTGTTCTGTTTGTTTTCACTTTATTTGGCTTTCGCATTATATATGTGTTCATTCGACTGCCTATGAACGAGTCAAGCTGTTTTGGGCCAACTCGTGTAAATTGGCCAAGTGCCCTCGCTCTTCCTCCTTGTTGTTAATTTTTGCCCACTCTTCGCCTTGAGCTTTGATTTTGACCCGATTCGTGTTTGATCGAACAAGAACTTCTCCATTCTTGCTTTTTTCTTGGGGCAATAACCTGATTACAACGTGGCCAACACCTAAGATACGGAGTATCAGAAATACAAATCGTATATTTGTCTGCGAAAAACTATTAGTTTTGCTTAATTTGTTTAATGGCTGGCATGCGACTACAAATTATAATAATATATGAATTTTAATCGAATTTTGCTGGGGTTTCTCCTCGCCATCTGTTAGAAATTGAACTGGTTTCGGCGGGTTTTTGTTTGTTTTTGGCCAACAAAATTAAATCAAATCTTGTTATTTAACTTTACATTATCATATATATTCCAGGAAATCCTTCAAGTCATAACCCAACTGGTTTTAAGATTAAATGGGTTGGTTTGCGGGACTTGCTAAACATTTATAAATTATTGTTTTAATTGGTATAAAAATATATACTTAAATTGGTTAGTTTAAAATCATTAAAATTATATAAATATTGTTTTTTTAAGATATTAAATGTCTTTTATCTGCCATTCCCTAGTACTTATATTTCACTTACAACCCTCATTTATAATTTTTCCGAATACGTCAAAAATTCAATTCCTTGGATTTATATTAATCTTATACAAATCCGCAAAATTTGTTGCCATTTGTTCGGCATAAATATTTTTGAATTTCGCACACGTTCTGTTGGCGAAAATATGTACAAAAATTGAATACGAAAAAGAGGAAGATAAGACCTTTTTCCGCAAAAATGGTGACAGAGCAGAATGTCCGCCGCCTACTCGGAAAAATAATCCCCAGCCGATTTGAACGATTTATTATTTGGCCCAGCCAACTCGGAGCCTGTCCGAAAACCCGGAACCATTAATCATTTGAGTCCAGATCCAGAAGTCCGAGTGGTGGACACTCGACAAATGCAATTGGTGGACATTCTGGAGAAGAAACTTTTGTGCGCTACGTGGCAACGTGTTGAAATTACAAAACGGGCTAAAAAATGAAAGTGCGGTTTGGCAGGGCGGGTAAAAAGCAAAATAAAATATTTCATTCACACACAGACTTTTGTCTCTACCAGCCGTCCATATAAAAAATATAAATTTCCTCTGAGAATAGAACTTGCGGAAGGCAAGGCAAGGTGATTATGTTTGACAGCCGGCTTGGGACGTGGAGCCCCGCCCCCTTTTTCATCGCCAGACAGGACATGGGTATTAGATTCTGACCAAAGTGCGGAAATTGGCCACCCGCCTGATTTATGACCAACTATTTTGTTTAATTTTCTCCACTATCTAACTTTGAATTTGGCCAAACAAATTATTAAAAGAGAAAATAAAATTTCATTTAATTTTCTTTGGCCTTCATTAATGCTTTTTCTCCTTCTCTGGGGAACTGTGAAAAATATGAATTATTGAAACAGCTGAAGAAAATAATATAACCAAATCAGAAGGCCAAATCTGTATTTAATGTTTCACATTTTGTTTTTTTGGGCAGGGGGCTGAATGACAATTTGCTTTTTGGCTTCAACCTCCCTCAACTGAAATTGATTTTCAATGTTTTTCGCCTAAAAATACACAAAAGAGTCGAAAAATTTGCTTGTGATTGTCAGCTGAATAAGAGTGGGTGGGTGGTTGGGAAAACCACTCCAAATCCACTTCACCAGATATGTCAGTGTATGGAATCACGGACCTCGCCTGATTTCTCCAGTGATTTTTCGCAATCAACCTGATGAGGATGTGCAGAGGACGATGAGGCCGTGCTATGATTAGTATCCTTTCAGCCAGGTCAAAAGCGACTCTCTCGCATGCCAAGTGGTCTCGGCCAAATGAAACTTTAATGCGGAACAAGGACATCAGGCTAAAAGAAGCCGCCTGATGAACTACGTGCTGGTCAGGATGATACACCTGGAAAAATATAGAAAATTTGGGAGCACCAACTTAAGCTGACAAAAATAAACTTTGAATATTTTAAACATAAAAAAAGTCAGATTAAAATACTTTTTAAGAAATGGCTACTGAAAACTATAGGGTGAGAAATACTTAAATATTTTAAATTATTAATATTAAGCAAATAAAAACATTAAAGTTAAAAATATTTAATCCCCGATGAAATATTTTGTAATATTTTAAATAACATTTTCCTTTCCTGTTCTGAATGCTCATACTGGTTAGAGACATTTCTCTAAGTGTAAAATGATAGTCAGCGACAAAGTGAAATGCATTGAGGTTGGTGGCGAGGAAACGCGAACTGAATCTGGAATTCCTACCCAGCCCGTTCCCACTACCAATTTATGGCTACTACGACTAGCATATGCCAGTTATATCTGGCATATCAATGCCAATAATGTACTTGGGTCCACGAGTATCTTTATTATCCTTACTGCTCCGCAATTATTTCCGACTATTTTTCGCTGTCTCGTTTTCCCGGGTCCTGGGAAAGGCAAACAAAGGATATTTCGCGTGCACACGCCCTGGACATGATTGCATCCGGCCAGGAAACCTTACGTCGTGTATTTCTGCATCCTTACATCCTAACATCCGCGCTTCCTTCCTGCAGATCTGAGCCCCTGGACTTGGCTGGTTTCATCCGCAATTTTCACGCCCACTTTGTTTGATGATGACAAATCTCGTTGCGTGTTATCAGATTGGCCAACTTTCCGTTCTCCCCTCCGGATTGCATAATTATGTTTATCTTTGGTAGCTGCGCTCCTGCCACGTGTCCTTGGCTTTTTCTGGTTTTCCCCCCGATTTTCCGATTTTCCTCCGCGACCTCGGAACGAGTGGCACGTGCTAATCGGCGGTCGTCTGCGACGCCCATGCACCCAACTAACCAACCAACCAACTGAACCACCCCCTCGAAAATGCAATGCCCGCCTTACATGCCCGATAATTGAAATCGCTAAGCTGAACATCGGCATCGTAATGGCTTCATTCTATCAGCTCAATTCGAAGGCAGCGCATAATGTCCTAAAAAAATTTGAATTGGGGGAAAGGTACTTGGAATGATGTATTTCACTTAGCTCGATTAAATTTGCTCATTTATTTTTTGGCCTAATTACGGAAATGAATTAAATTGATAGAAAATAATCATTTTTTTTATCAGGTTTTATTGATAAAAATTTAGCATGGATAGAATGTTTTAGACACAATAAAATTTATAACATTATTTATTAAAAAAGTAATTCAGGGTTTTTTTTAATTGTATAATTATTTTGTATTTTATTCTAGTATTATATGTATTTCCAAATTATATTAATTAGAGAATTTTATAAAAAATATTGCTAAAAAACGCGCCTAAATCCAAAAGAATTTCCATTTCTCCTATCCAACCAACCAAAAATTCCCGGTTTAAATTAAATTTGCTCATTTACCTTTAAGGACATCCTTTGGTTAATGAGTCCACTCACTCACACACCTACTTGCAACCGAATGAGTGTCGCCCTGCGGACGCATAAAAGCCTCACCTCACACGTGGAGAAAGACAAAGCGAGAGAGAGGGGTATATAAAATAAGAGAGAGACGGGCAGCTACGGTCTGAGGCCACGAAGTGTGCTAAATATTTAAATACTTAAAACCATAAACCCGAGTACTTATGAATTGACTTTAACAAGCTCATGTGTGAGGTGGGGGTGTGTCTGTGTGGGCAGACCCTTTTTTTGGGCCAAAAGGATCTGCTCAGCTCCATTCATTAGAAATGCTCACTAATGTGCCCGACTTAATAATAATCAAATTTATATGCATGGTTATGTCCTTTAAAGCAGGACCACAAAACTGAAGTTCCGAGAGGACTTTCGAAGGAAAAGGGGAGGGGACTTCTCTGAGAAAACACTGAGAATGAGACGAAGAAAAGTGTCAATATCCTTGTTTTCCAAAAACTTCTGGCCAAAAGTGCAGCTGTCCAGTATCGAAAGTCCAGTACCGTTATTTTGTTACCAGTATCTTGTTTGTTTGTTTGTTAGCCTTCTTGTTTGCGGCCGACACTGAGACTAAATGGCCAAAAAGGTTGTTCTCCCGGGATTTGATGCGTCCTTCTGCCGGCTTCCTCATTCTTTTGGCCCCGATGAGTCTTGAAAATTTCACAAAAATTAATTATGAATGCTGTTATGTATACCTATTTGTTGTGATAGGCCAGTCTGGAAACATTTTTGATTTGACTGAAGCGGATCTCCTTTTTGGCCACACCCGAAATGCTATTCCCTCACGAGAAGCGACAATAAAAACAAATTACAATTGCAACAATGGCAGCGGCAGCCAAACATTTGAGGCATTTTCTCCACACACTTCAGTTAAACGAACGTTTGCAGGACCTGGATTCATAGACATTCTATACACTTTCAGGGGTTGCACTCCAGGAGCATTAACCCATTTTTGCCCACGGCAGCGGCCAGCAACGAAGGACTGAAAAAATTGAAATAAATTACCAAAACTAAAGGCAACAACTGTTCGCATAATGAAGTCAAATTATTTTTTGCCTGCAAGCACTAAAAGAAATATTTACCTTGAAAAAATACAGTTTAAATTTTAATTGAATTAAAAAAGTTGAACCTTGATGTGCAAATTCTTTAAAATCAATAAAATTTTTTATAAAATCAAAGCTGTATTGAAAGTATAGAATTTTAAATTGGGTATCATCTTTTTTTATGACCAACATAAAAGGAAACATTTTCATTTTTAATTTTATTAGTGTTCTTTATTTTAAAAGAATTTTTGTCAGTGCAGTTGGAAAGAGGGAGTTGAAATAAAAAGAGATGGGGTGCGCAAAGATGATCAGGGGAGGTGTGAGTGATTCAAACTAGCAGGGCGTGAGGTTAGCGAAGGGTGCGTCCTTTTGCTGGTCCTTGGAATTATTCAAATCGGCTGCACTTCAGATACTACCCCTACTAAAAGCCCCCCACACCCCTAATCACCCGAGATAACCCTCTACAAACACACATATTAGTGTCATCGAGCATTTGCCAGGCCATTTCATTGACACGTAGAACACCTTTTTCGGCGTCCACTTCGTATGATGTTATCATTTAATTCTTAGGGAATTAACACGGACATTGTCAACCGTAAATGAGCTAATTAATCTAGTAAATGTGTCGCAGCTCATTCCGCATTTCCTCCATTGCCGGAATGGGTTCGCGTTTTTGTGGTTCTCCAGAGGATCCCCAATGCTGACACGCTTCTCCAGGTGGATGAGGAAAACTGGGCAGGAAGGCCCCTCGGGGAGCTGCACTAAAACCCCAAATGAGATGCATGAATTCCTCTCGGCAGACAAGCACCTCATAAAAGTTTACATCAATGTATTTACAACAAATTTTAGGGGACATTTCAAGTGGAAAATAAATTAAATAAAGTCGAGGGAAATTCATAGAAATTATAAGTAAAATAATAAGTCAAATAGCAATACGATTTTCTTTAATGTTGGTTTTTTAAATGGACAATATTCTCTTATTATTATTATTATTTATTTATTTCCACTGTTTTGAATTTCAATCCAATATCCATTCCCATGATTTTCTGAATTTTTGGCTAACTTTATTTGGCCACAAATCAATCTTTTGTCGCACCAAAGTTAATGAACCAGCCGCACTTTTCCAATCTCGTCTTTGATGCGTTGGACTCCGCATATTTGGCCAGACTGAAAAATAATTTCATGTTTATGGCCAAGTTGTTTTCACCGGGCCACAAAAATGCTTATCGAACGGCTGAGATCGCTGAGCGAGACTTGTAAATATTTATGATTTTTTGCGATTTTTATACGACTGATAAACGGGTTTTTCCCAGCCAAAAGTGCTGGGATGTGCGAAAATGTTTGTGGGAAGAAATTGAGGTACATCTAGCCCTCGGGTTAACCTTCTGTTTGTTTAAATAATAAATCTGAAGAAAGGTTTTATTTTTGTAGCCTCCCTCCCCTTGTTATTCTTATGTAAACGAAACCTTTTTTTTCTCTTTTTTAGAGTAACCCTCACGAGAACGTTTAGGCCGAGAATTGGGTAAATATTTAAACTGGTTGCGATTGTTTTGGCAAAATCGTTGCAGTTGGTCAAACACGTGTTTGAGATAATTTAATTAAATTTAGGTACTTGGCTTTCTTCCCGTGCCACGTGCCACTCGAGTCCAGTTATGTTGCCCTCCAAATGGAGTGGCAAACACTTGAGCACTTGCTTTAAAATTGTGGCAAGTGCAGGGGGGTTGAACAGTTGGTTGGTTAGAAAATTCCTTGGAATCGGAAAACTTTGGTGGTCCACGGTGCAGACAATGCAACTGTCATACGTTTAACACACATTCAACTTGGATGGATCTCTGGCATCTGTCACAGTCCGTGGAGAATAAACTAAATTCCTCCGAACTCAACGCACGACAATGCCGATGATGACTTGTGGAAATCAACGAAAAGATTTTCCATCTGTAACTAAATATGATTTATTTCCACGGTGTGTTAGCCGCCTTCCGCCCCTCTCATTAGTCGGGGCCCCGGGTAATTTGCATAAGTGTCCTGGCCCCAGGAAAAAGGACTCCGACTTGAGAGAGCGCTGGAAACTAATTAAAATGTTCGCGCCTCAAATTTCCTTCGCTCGCCTTTATTTATGACCCTGTGAATGTCTTGCATATGGAGTTCCTTCTCCTTTTCCCTGCAGTTGCCCTCTTATTTTCCTCCTTTATTTTTTGTTTACGAGTGACAAATGGGACATTTACATGCGAGTCAGTATGCATATTAGAATTATTCATGGTTTCTTCAGAGATGGCGTCTGTGATGTGGCAGGAAAAGGGTAAGGGTTTCTTAAAGGAAATCGGAAATAGAAGAGGATGCTTGACGGTATAGAGGAAATCTATGCATAAAACCGATATAGGGGCATTTAATATTTTATATTTGACAAAAATAATATTTTCTGTAAATATCTAAGTCAGTCAAGGAAGATAGCGAACTTAATAAAAAAAAAGAAATTCAAGTTATTTTCTACAGTTTCAGTAATACATGTTTAATTTATTATTACAAATTGTATAGAACGTTTAATCTTGTTTAATGTAAATTAAATAATACATGTTGAAAATTCTTAAGGAAACTAAATGGATGCAGAATTTATATGTACGAATCAGAAATATATTGTATTTTAAATTTAGTTTGATTAAAAAATTGTTTAAGCTTGTTATTAGGAAAACTGAAATCAGAATTATTTGGAAATTGTTTTGTTGCTTAATAATCTTGTAATCTCCAATTCATTATTTAGGTAAAAAAAAAGCTTAAGCCTTCGACATGGTTATGGTTTATGGTTAAAAGTCAAACCTCTGGCTAATTGATACAATTGTAATTGTGCTGACGAGAGTCCTTCCGATTGTCCATTTCCCACCCTCCGTAATCCCTTAAGTCTCAAGCAGGGGTAAATATCAAATCCGGAAAACGTACCAACAAATTATTTAGCAATTGGCTAGTGAAAGTCCAGTGCCATGTAAATCCAATTGTAAACAATTTGAATCAAATTCCAGGGGCATCGGCCGCAAAGGGGATGGGGGTGGCAGGGGTTAAAGTTCCATGACAGCTGTCGCGGCCCGCAAAGTCCGCTGAGGATTGGGCGTGATAAAAGGGGTTAATCGAACACGCGGACCTCTGCTTTGGATCGGGGAATTTTCTTCACCTTTGCGGAATAAGAAAATTTATTTGTAGAAGGGCGTGGAATTTCCTTCTGGGTATTTTGGTTAATTAGCGATGTCTGGGGACATCTTGGCCTGCTCTTTTCGCCTCTGATTTAAACATAAAATTTGTGCTTGCAGCTCTGGGGAGATGTTTCGAGAACTTCTCAAAAATAGACCCAACAGCAAGTGAGGGAGTGAAAGAAATTCGGGAAAAAGAGTTGATTCTTCCTCTGACACTTGCCGACTTTTGGTTAACGGAGTTTTCCTGGCTTGTCAGAAGTTAATGAGATTACCACGCCCCTCAAATTAATTCACGGAAAAGTCAAACAAGCACACAGCATGTTTGTCTCTCTTTCCCTCGTTTATTCAATCGGTCACAGGCAGAAACCGCAAATGCGGAAAATGCAAATTGTTTTTCATCCGAACCCAGAACCTCGAAACCGATGCCATCCCCTGACCTTTTCACTTTTTGTCCTCCTAACGAGGCGTGAAAATTTTGTGGGCGGTTCCGGTAACTAATCCCCAGAAAGAGGAAGAGAGGGATATGAAGGATATACCTATAGGCACTCCATAGTGTTTGACAACTTCTTCTGCCCCGGATAATGTGCGAAAGTCAGAAGGGTTAAACCCGAAAATGATGACTAATCAACTCTGAACTCACAACAAAATAAAAAATTTTATTAAGAGAAACAAAGAAACAAAAGAATTAAAAGATTTTTTATTGCACTTAAAATTTATTTAAATGTAAAATTAATAGTTTATACCTTACTTTATCAAATGATATATTGTAATTACATTTGTAATATACATATTAAATTGAAAATTTAGGAACCATTGTCCAAAGTATTTATAAAATTTTCTTCAATTTCTAATGTTTTCTTATTTTACATTTTAGGGGTATCTTCGGATACAACAAAGTTAAAAAATATAATACATTAAAATATTAAAGATTTTAAATAAATTGAACATTCGTAGTTCCACTATTTCCCCCTGTTCCGCGTAGCCAGGCACTGCTTGCTTTTTGGACTGCTTTGCCGATGGCTAAAGAGAAATTATAATCCCCACTCTCTCTCTCTCTCTTGATTTTGGCTGCCAAAATGGTTCTCCAATCAGAATGCAGCAATGACAATTTGTTTTTGCTGAGCTCCAGTGGCTCCCCAGTGGTTTTGTTTTTGGGTTTTAGTTACCGTTTCGTTTGTTTGCCGTTTTGTGTTTGTTGCCTTTCAGTGTGTCTTTGCAGGCGTTGACACTTTGGTCTCCCAAAAGAGCCGAGCCGAAGGTGCCTGGGAATAGAGCGGTGCCATAAGCCAGGCAGAAATGGAGAAGTGAGACCAAGAGACCATGAGACCCCGAGATCCCAAAACCGAGATCCTAGACACACGCCCCCTCTCGATTGGGGACGTCGCTGCGTCGCTGCGGTTCCATTCGCACCGTTCCTAGGGGGCTGCTCTCTCGCTCGCTCTCGCTCTCTCCCGTTAGGACACCCGCTGTGGTGGTGGGTTTCCCACACACACACAAGCGACAGCTTCTCGTCTCTCCACGGGATTGGCTGGCCATTGGATTTGGCTGGCCACCCCCGGCGCTCTCTCTCCCCTCACCCAGTGGCGCAGACTCGTTTCGTTTCCATTTCCATTCTCGAAACTCTCGTTGGTCGCTTCTCCGCAGCCGCGTCGCTGCCGCTGCGCCGCTTCTTGTGCGACGGCCGCTGCAGAATCGCTGGCAAGGATTCAGTTGGGGTTTCACAGCCACTCGGGACGGTACCGCGCGCCGCTCAAACTTGTTGCGAGACCAATTTTCCGAAAATCCCTAATTCTCTGCGGTGCATTGGCCAGAGTTCACCCAAAAAAAAAAACAAGAAAACAAAACACCCACACACACATTTTCGTTTCGCGATTGATTGCCAGAGCTCTCCGGAGACCCAAACACGGAAAAAGAGAAAACCACAAATACCAAACCACAAACCGATCGAGTTATAAAAAATACAAAAAACAAAGAGCCTTCAAAACGGCAGCCACAATTTCCAGCGCAGGATTAGGAGGAGACGTCGCCGCGTACGCTGATCTCCACCAGCACTCGCACTCGCATCCGCATCCACATCCCCATTCCCACCACCCGTTCGCCACCGACGGCTTTAAGCTGCGTTCCGAGGAGCCGGTGCCGGGCTTCAGCTCGGCCTCCCCCTGGCCCACCCTGGAGCTGGGCATGGAGTGGGGCCGGAAGCTGTACCCCAGTGCCGTTTCCGGTCCGCGATCCGCCGGCGGCCTCATGTTCGGCCTACCGCCCACCGCCGCCGTCGACATGAACCAGCCGCGCGGTCCGATGACCTCGCTGAAGGAGGAGCCGCTGGGCAGCCGGTGGGCCATGCAGCCAGTCGTCGACCAGAGCAAGTAAGTGACAAGGAATCCCACCAGTGACCTAAGAAAGTGATCTACCAAGTGCTCAAGGGGGAATCCCTAAAAGACTGCCCTGAAGTGACATCAAGAAGTGATCTTTCAAGTGCTCAAGTGCTTTGTTTTAGCTGGGTGGCCCTCTTTGGGTATTTAGTGGTGTCTGACAGCTCAGTAGTAATCACAGACATTTCCAAAAAAAAGTGATCACTAAGAGTATTGAGTTTGCATCTTTTAAAAATAATAATTTTATTTAGATTAAAATAAAATACTTTAAAAACGAATTGGAGTATGATTCTATTCGATTTTAATTAGGCTTTATATACTCTGATTGAGTTTCAAGATGTTGTTGCTTATCCGCTTTTGACTCTGAGAATAGCTAGAATAGATAAATTTATACTAAGATCTTTGTATCATCGATTTGATGATTACCTTATTAGACAACAAGGATTGGCGCCCAACGTGGGGCTGTCAACATTTACTGTTGACAAGTGACAAAGAGGCCTCTCAATGAAAATCCCCCGTTAATCTCTGCTAATCTCTCCCATAATCTCCATCGGCAATCTCCAAGTGCGCCCGCAACAATGTTTCAGCAACACACACGCACAAGAAAAGGCCAAACAAAAAGAAGTCTCCAAAAAGGGAAGACCGTGAAAGAAAAAAGTGCGTTTGTTTACTTTTGGCCAAAGCCGGCATTCGACAATACGTACACACATATATGAAGGCCCCTGGGGGAGCGATTCCGAAACGTAGTAAGTCAGTCAGTCAGCCAGGGGAGACGGGCGGATTTTTATGGCCGATAGGCCGCCCACCCTCTAAGCCAAGATGAACCCCAAAACAAAGTCCGTCCATTCAGACCCCAGACTCACTCGAAATTCCCACTCAAAATGTTCGCTTCACGCACTTTTTGGGATGGTATTTTTGTTGTAAGGGGGGATAAAGCGGGGACTTTGAGCTCAAGGGGATGTTATTTTGTTGTTGCCGATTTTACTTTGACTTTCACTTTCGCCTCATCTGAATGAATCGACTTTCAAGAAGTCACTCCACCGCCGCTCTCATCCGCTCCCCACTCAAGGAACCAAAAATGAAGAGGGTTGCTCTGGGAAAAGCTTTTATTTTTCTTGGCCCTTGTTTGTTTAGTTGCTTTTGAGATGTTTCTGGCGTGAGATGTTCGCGCCGAGAAGAAGTGCGCGAGTTCATCAAACAGAAAGCGAGAGCGAAATGACAGCGGGATTTGTCCATTCAGCGGCGGCAAATCAGCATTCCCACCCACACCCACAGGCCCATCTAAGTAATCACATCCAAAGGCAGGACAATCTCAATCAGGATCACAATCACAATCAGACATTAAATAATAAGACAATGCGCTGTGATACGAGGTAATAAAGTGGAGATGATTATTAAGTTAAAATTAAGGTTAATGGTGAAAAAAGGAATGATACAAGGTGTTTTGCAACAAAAAAAAATTCTAAAGTAAAAACTATTCATAAATTCCTGAATTCAAAGAAGTCTTATTTGAAAAACAATAAATAAGAAGTTAGAAAAGTTAAACTCAATACTTATTGTCAATCTTCAAAGTTATGAACACAAAAAAAGTAATTTTCTTTTCATTCCAAAACAATTTAAGTGATTATTAAAGTATTCAATATCACCTAAAAAAGCCATCACAAATATAATTTTAATTTAAATAATATATTCCGAAAATTTTTAAGTAACTGAAACATGTTTACCATGTTCTATCGATCTAAATAATAATCGAAAACATTGAAAACTTAATTAGCAAACTTCCTTTGCCCCGCTAAACTCTCCACAGATATACTTCCCATTCTCTCACCACAAAGGACAATTCAAACTTTTGTGATTGCAATTTGAATTTAAGGATTTATTATTATTTTGTAGGCAACTTTTGCGACAAATAAATCTCCTCGATTCCGATAATTGTTCAATATGTTTTGTGGCAACCCATTTATTTAAACACTTATCGGTGGCCCATCTAACTGGAACAGCAGAAACAATGTTGTACTAAAAACAAAGTGCATAAACCACACACAATTGTGTTGTACTTCTTGTCGCTGCTCGTAAATCAGAGGAATATTCGAAAATTTATTTCAACAAAGATTGTCCAGGGAGAAGAAATGTTGGAAGCAAACTCTAGATTGCAACAAATGCCCGTAAAGTGTCCTTAAACAATGGCCAGGCTATTTCGATGCCACTAATAAAGTCGCCTTTTTAAAGGACTCACATGTGTGGAAAGCTGCTTTTCACGTGCCTGGCCAGAAATAGACTAAACGTGACCACGAATAGAGACACCTTTTTTTGTGCTGGCCACCTGGGCATCGATTTGCGACAATTAAATGTTGGCATAATAAAATCAACAGCAAAACGGCCACAAAATGTTCTATATCTTCGTTTTTTTATATTTTGTTGGCTGCTCCTCTCTCGCAAATTGGCGGCAAGTGCAAACAAAGTGAGCTGGCAAACTGCCGCAGAACGATTTTCCACAATTTCCAGCCAGTCGAGTTGAAAAGTCAACAAAGAAAATGAAAAAAGAAAAGCGGACTAAGGTGGATTGGGGGGTTTGAGGGGGGGAGGAGTTGGCACAAGTTTTTTATTTGCCAGGATGTACTCGGCATAACAATAACCTTTCACCAGAATGTAACATGTCTGGCATTTATATGTCGTACAGGAACCACCAGCTCAGCTCCCCAGCTTTTCACAAAGGTGACTGTGGAAATCGCATCGAACTTCCGCTTTTCCCCCTTAAAAAACCTGGGCTGCCTCTTAATTTGATATCAGCTTGTGGGTAAATCAACTTTAGCACCGCAAAATGTGTTTGTTTCTGCCTGAAATTCGTATTCAGATTGGTGTCCTTAAAGGGCATTATTCATAAGTATATCATGTTATTTTAATCTCCCAATTCTCGTGAATATTCTGGGAATTAGGATTCCGGGTAACTCATGAAAGCTAAAAGGTAAATAAATAAATTTGCAATTTTATATAATTTAACTTGCATTAAAAAAGATTTCAAGCCACTAGAGATTAAACTTCCTTGAAATTCCACCCCTTCCATGAGTCTCTGAACCGTATCACTCATCAACTGCTGAAAGGCAATCAAAACCGATGAAAACTACAAACGCAAATCCAAACACCTACCGATAAAATTGTCCTCCAAATCCACTGGGTATCCAAGTACTTATTTAATAACTAGGACGCAATTCGATTGCACTTTCGATGGAAGTCAGGCAAGAGGGGAGCTCTATCATTAGCTGATGGCCCGGCACTCCGCGTCCGACATTATCCTTTGGCAAATGTGTATATAATTGCAGGACCCCCGAGTCTTGGCAGGACATGCGGCGCACGGCTCCTTGACATTGCCTGTGCAAACAGGAGCAGCACATAAATAGTGCAGGAGGAAATAACGCAAATACAAAAAATCTGATAAAATCAGCATTTTCTAAATTAAATTGTTCGTTATGCATACAGGGAAGAAGAGGGTGAAGGAATATAATATAACAGAACAGGAAAGGACCCTACCTTAGTCCTTCCAGCTAGACATTGTCCGGTAATTGTTCGCTGACAGCAGAATAAAGGGGGTTCTGACATTTAGCATATGGATAGCAAGGACAAGCCTTTATTCCTGCGTCTGCGGCTCAGTCGTCCAGTCCACGGGTGTCCTGGGATAATTGCCCAATGTCTGCCGGCTTGGCCCACATACTTGTGCTTGGAAAATATTTCAAGTGTAGGAGGGGCGGACAAGTCGGACTGTCATACATCAGGATTATTGTGTCACGTTGATGTTGCTTATGCGCTTTTAATGATAGTTGTCACATCAGAGCGAGCTGCTAGCCGAATGTCACTCTCCAGCGTAATTGAGTTGTTGCCCCTAATTCCCGGCCAAAAGAACTGGCCACTAAACTAGACTCTCGCTGCCAATTAGAGGCTCTTTAGGCCCGGTCTATATTTACCCAACTAATGGCATAATTACCGTCTGTCTCCCTTCTAATATATATTTTTACTAATTTCTCCATTGCAGTTTGGGCATCGGGCGCGCCCACTTCGAGAAGCAGCCGCCCAGCAATTTGCGCAAGTCGAACTTCTTCCACTTCGTGATCGCCTTATATGATCGAGCCGGCCAACCCATCGAGATCGAGAGGACGGCCTTCATAGGCTTCATCGAGAAGGACTCGGAATCGGATGCCACCAAGACAAACAATGGCATCCAGTACCGACTGCAGTTGCTCTATGCAAATGGTGAGTGCTAAGTTCTATACAGGCAAATTTTTTATCTAATATCTATTTCTTATTTTCAGGAGCTCGCCAGGAACAGGACATATTCGTGCGCCTCATCGATTCGGTGACCAAGCAGGTGAGCTTTAAAATAATATATGATATACCTACGTAGAATAGTTAAAATAGAGCCAAAATACTAAAGTTCTGATAATCTTCATAAATAATAGATCTCAGTTAGTTTTAGTTAGTTTAGTTTATCTTGAAACCTTTTAATAAAATCTCAAAATCTTGCAACCACTTATTAATATTCCAAAAATACTTCTTATAAAGGGAATACCTTAAAAGTTTTGTTGAATAGATTGATCGATTTCCTTTATAAACTTCTAAACAAAAACCTCTATATAAAGCTGTTACAACTACCCCGTCAAAAACCACTTAAAAGTTAGCAATTCATCTTGCGATTACCACTTGAATAAATTAAGAACTTCCCGATTTCCCTTATTTTCACTGCAAGTTAGGGCCAAAGTTAACCAGGCTATGAAAAACTAATTCCTTCCACTCGACTGCTTTCGTGCACTTTTTTTCGGTTAGCATGTTTGTTTTGCTGATTCGAGCATAAGTTGCATTCGAAATTGATTGTCATGGCTAATTAAGTGTGTCCTGGTGTGTCCTTTGGCCAATAAATTGAGTCGTCAAACGGGCATTTCATTCGCACGACTTTTCCTACTTTTCCGCCCGGGAAAAAAGGGGTGTGACCGGGGCTAACGAGTAGAAAGGAGAAGGCGAGAAAATCGAGAGAATCGCACGGGGATCGAACATTGTTAATGCGCTTTGTTGTGGGTGCGTGCAAGTCCTGGGGCATTTTTCGTCCTGGTCCTCCTGCTTTCCTGGTGCACCATATGTCCGCTTTTGTGGGCCTAATGCCTTGCGTCGCCTTTCCTTTAGTCCTTTTCAAGGGCAATTAATTTTTCGAGTGACAAATTTTTATAGACGTTGGTCCTCCTCTCTCTCCTTTCGATAGCTTCCCCATTAACCCCCTCGCTTCTCGATTTCTCTCCTTTTTGTGGGCGTTTCTTGCCCATTTAGCCGCGCGTTCGCATCAGAAACGAGATCGCAATAAATTTGTCCACAAATTATCGACAGCAGCGATATCGCCCCCTTTCTTTTTTTACTTTATTGGTGACAAATCCATTTGTACGAATGCAATTTAATCGCAAAACATATTCGACCCGCCGCCCAATTGATTTTTCCAAAAATAACACACCGAAATTGCCGAAAAAAATTAAGTTCTTTCGGCATTGTTGATAAGAAATCGCTCAAGATGATTATTTATGGGAATTTTGAAGCAATTAAAGCTTATCGTAAATTGAATAGGGCCATAGAGAGTTATTTTAATAATATAAAAAAGTAATTAACACCAATTTAATGGGTCTTCAAGGGAAAATTAGAATTTCCGGGCTAAGTGCTGCACATTCCCTGAGGAAACACTAATTGTAGATTTGTTTAAATATTTTTAGCAATTAATTTATTCATGTGCATTTATTTTTACTATTATACATTTCCTCTAAAAGTATTTTTGATAACTGAAAACATGGAAAAAACCTTGGATTCTGGTGATTTATAAAATTAGGAACTACGGAGTTTCTGACGGATATTACGTAAAGTCCCTGAAATAGTTATTATGGTTGCTTTCTATATGAGTACTATATATTTTTTAATCTTTTAAATATCGAATAGCCTTTTTGGAATTTCTCAATTGCCCATTTCCGCTTGACTTGTGATGTATTTTTAATAGACCTACCCCTAACCTGAGAAAATCTCTCAGCGATACGAGTTTGTGCCCCGTTTGAAAAGTGTCGCAAGCTGGGAAAAGAACAATCATTTGATCGGATTAGGTGGGTTTGGCTTCCTCCTTTTTTATGTTTTGTTTTTAGCTGGCTGTTTTTGAATTTTACATTTCGTTTGTCGCGTGTCGCCTTTGTTATCGGATTGCGTAACAGGTAAGGCGGGGATAAGCGAGTGTTATCTAAGTGGGTTGGGATATTTGGATGGTATTGTAACGTAACTTGAAACTGGGAACTGAACTGAAACTGTGGCGGGCCGAATGCGATTAAGGCGGAATTGTCTCAGGACGATGGACTCAATCGTAAATGGCAGGGTGCCAGGAGGGCAGGACAATTGTCAGCAACTGGCGTCCACGTGGCAAAAACCCCCGACTAAAGCGGACAACCCTTGCAACGCAACCCCTTTTTCGGCGAGAATGCAGCAAATCATGGTCATAATCATAATTACATTCGATCAGATAACGGCGGAAAAACAGTTCGAACGGGAGGCGTCGCAATTGCAATTTGAGCTAACGACGGGAACCACGGAAAATCGCCTCATTTCGGCGATCATATTTCATTTTCATCAGCAAAATCAGATACATATAGAGAGTGTTGGTGCTACGGGTCCGGCATAAAACAATAGGGAAATCCTTTTTTCCCCCTTCGGTTTTTGTGTTTTTGGCCAAAATTGCGCTTATCGCGATTAAAACGCACTCAAATACACGCACAAAAGCGCAGCGAAATTCTAAACCAAAAAGAGATGGAGATAGGCGGTGTTAGAGGGAAAGGGAAGATAACTGGCGATTAATGCACTGAGATAACTGAGACGTAAAGTGGTGAAAAAGGGCCCAAAAATCCGAGGGAACTAAAGAATCCGCCAATCGGTTACCCGTTACCCTTTATCCAACCGCTAACGGTTAAAAAATATTAAAGAAAAGCATCATTAAATACTATATAGCCATCGCACTCACACACTACGTTGTCTGCGCGTGTTAATTAAGCGATAAAATTAATTTGTATGTCAACACTTAAAAAGCCGAGAGAGAGACTCATTTTCGATTATTAACAAATTGTGCAAGCACGCTTAATGGCAAAGTGTTATTGTTGTTTTTGCTGTTGTCGTTGGCGCCGCCGGCCGCTCAATAAATTCAACAGATTGCGCGAAATGAAATCTCCACATTTGCATGTGTCCATCTGTCTGTCTCGCTTGCACTGGCACCCTCCCTTTTCGAATGGCCACGCTCCCCACGCTTGCTCTCCCTCTCGCACGCAATGCGATTAAAAATGCTTTCACGGCAAGTGCATTTCTGCGGTCGAAAGGGATGGGTAGAGAGTGAGAGAGAGAGAGTGCGAAAAAAAATGATATCGCCCTCATTATGCGAAATGTGTAATGCATGTGGATTCCTCTTTGAAATTCTTCCTGGTCCCTCGAGGGACCTTCGGTTTTATAAAGGTGTGCAAGATGCACTACGGTATTTGGGTGAAAAAATTCTTAACTTTTAATATCTAAAGGTGGATGGAAAATATAGAAAGCTACCAATTATAAATTCTTAAAATATAAGAAGTCTGAGTCCCATATAATATTTTTATCTTATTAAATATTGGAAAATAAGTTGTTTTTTCCTATCATAAAATCAATTATCTTTTCTAAATCCACAATTAGCCATCAATATTTTAGGCTCTTGAATATTACAACATAATCCATGAATAATTCAAAACTTTTCAATTACCAACATGAAAACAAACAGAAACGTAATGATTTATTTTAGGCAGTGCATATTTTAAATTACTTATTTTGTAATTTTTCAAGAAGTCGGCATTACATTGTTATCCTGTGCCCCTAAAAATATGCAAATACCATGGAAGTGACCTCCAGCCAAAAAGGTTTCTCCCCCTTTTCCCTCGGCAAAATGCACAAATATGCGAAATAAAAACAGAGGATGCACGAATCCTTGCAGCGGTAACCTTTATTTCGTTGTCCTTTCTTCTTCCTGGGCAATTTATGCGTTGCCCTGATAAATGAAGCTTTAATAAATTAAGAGCTACCCTCTATAGGGTTTTTTATACCGTTTTGTTTTTGTTTTATTGTTGCCCTTTCACAAAAATCTTTTTTTTCCACTCGCTCTTTTGTTCGCGATAATTTATCTTGTTTGGCGAGATTTTTATTTGGCACGTTAAATATGCAGTATATGCAACATGCAACATATCCAGCATTCAAGTGCGTGAATAATGCAGCGAACGTCGATTCATTTTATTGCAAAAGCGATAATAACAATTTGCAAAAATGCTGCAAAAAAATCGACTCTTCGCCGGAGTTTGATGGAAAATCGTTTAAAATTTAAAAGCTACCGCGGCTCATCCTGTTTGCATGCATCCCCCTTTTGCTCCCACTGCCCCTGGTGGAGTCCTTTTTCTGCCAGTCCTGTCATCACTTCATCACTCGCTTTTTTTGCAAATTTTTTCTTGCTGACTCCTGTTCTTTGTCCTGTTGATAAATCGTAGTTTAAACGCTTTTACTCCAGTTTTAGTGGCTTTCGTTTAGTTTGCCGTTTTTTTATTAGATGAGCCATTTAGCCTCGGATTTCCGAGCTCCCAAACTCCTGACTTTCGGCCACAAAAACATGGAGAACGAGATACAAACTAATTGTTTGTTTCTGCATCCCACCGCAAGGATGATGGATGATGATTCCTGTTGTTACCCTCTTTATATTCCTTTTTTTGGGTTGGAGAACTTAGTTTTGGTTAGTTGGTTGGGCTATTTAAATATATTTGGGTGTGAGTAATAAAACTATTTTAATATAGGTGCTATAAAATATTTTGGTTTATCGATTTCAATAATATCCTTCTTATTTTCTGACCTAGACTTTCTTACTTTTCTTCTTTTATCACAAACTAGGCCCACACTTTATATCCTCTTCCCAAAGTCCAAAATAAACAGGTGACAAATACAAGGTTGTCACATAAAAAATCGAAGCAAACTTTATGTCCTATCCCGGGAAAACATTGAAAATCCATTACCCCGGAGTGGGATAAAAAGGACATCCCATCCTTGTCCGGCCTATAATTAGCTGCACTCCGTCCGGGAAAAGTTCGATATCCCGCACACATATTGGACATTGAGCCGGGGCCATCGAAAGAGCTCGAGGCTCGAGCTGTCTGATCCTTTACAGGTTTCGGAAAGGGTCCGTGTCCGGGGGAATTATTAACCTGACAAACGGGATAATAAGGGATGATCATAATTTTACATGTGCCCAGCTAATGCCAAAAACAGCAGGGGGCGTCGGAATATATCCAAATAGAGGGTTGGACTTCGGAGGACTACTGCTGGTTGCATTAAAATTAATTTCTGATTATCTATCTGGTTGGGCACAGCTTCTGGGCGATGGGCTCTATGCTCATCATCCTAGGAAACAGAAACAAATGCACATATGCCGGTGACGTCAGAGGTACCGAACCACTCGTCCTTGACGGCAAGTGATTCCTCTTCTTTTTTTGTTTCAACTTTTTGGTGGATGAACACCGCTCAGGTTTTTGGCTTCCTCACTCGGTTATTGTTATTACTTTTGCGTGTATCTCCGCAGCCAGTTGATGAATGATCCTCTCACCCTCGTGGAAAAACGGGTCCTTCACCCTTCGCATACATATGCCGTGTTTTTCGCCAACTAATTCGCTGGATGAGTGTTGGATTACGGTCAGTAGGGCGAGGGGTAAAGAGGACACCCGCTTTAATCATTTTTAAATTAGAGAACTATGCGCCTTTTTGTATTCCGAACCCACCCATCCATTGTTTATCTATTTTGTTACTGAACTTCGAGAGGCTTGCGGAAATTGCAACAGATTGTCTAACGCTGCACTTGCGGTTGCTGTTCCTTCCACATGGCATGATTCTATGGAACACTAAGGAACACTATGGAACACCACCCCCTCGAAAACACGCCTCACTTCATTTCCACCGCACAAGAAAAAACAAACAGACAGTTCGAGTGGCGTTTTCACTGGGCAAACACAAATACTAGACTCGCACAAAACGCCCCTTCAATGCCCATACCCCTCGGAATATTATTCATGCAGAGGTAAAAATTGTGGACATTGTCAATATTTGCATTGTGTCCCATATGTCGATTTGCTGGCCCGAGTTTTCGGGGCTCTGTAATTAGCATTTATGTGTGTTTGTCTTGGCCCAAAACGATACTTGATAGGGGGTCAAAAGAGCAGCGGGCGGGGGTCGAGTCGGCAGTGTCGATAGCAGTGGGTCAATAACGGGGTCAGGTGGGTTTTATTCAGGTGGTTAGATTAGAATATATATAGCTGGCCAAAACAAAAAAACTTATATTTAGAATTACTTCAATTTCTACTTTTTACCTTGTTGTTAAATGTTTTAAGAGTAATAAGCATAATTTTTCAAGTTACCATAATTAGTTTTATTAAAAAAAAACTAATTTATTTAAAAATTTCAATTTAAATCCAAATTCTATTAAAGATATTCTATTTTTTAAAGTGATTATAAATAATGATCGCAGTTATCTAAAATAATTATAAATATTATTAGGAAAAATATAAGTAATTTTCCTTTAATTCCATATAATCTCCTTAATTCCCTATTATTATTTCCCATTTCAGGCCATCATATATGAGGGTCAGGACAAGAATCCCGAGATGTGTCGAGTGCTTCTAACGCACGAGGTGATGTGCAGGTGAGTGCTTATCACTACTATCCCCTTTTTATTACACCAAAAATATTCTCCCTTGAAATCCACACCTTTTCATACTGATTTGCGAATCGAAATCTCAAGTCTCGCGGGCATTCGGAAACCGGCTCCCTGGAGCTTCTTTAACTTGCCTTTTTTTTCTGAACTCATCCCATCCTTTGCCGCAGCCACTCAAATTATAGAGACCTGAGTTCTCATTTGTTTCGCCTGTAGTTGTTTTTTTTCCGTGATTTTCCCTGGATTTTCTTACGATTTTCTTATGCTTTTTCCCTCCGACAAAACTGGGGGACAGCTTTAATTTTGTTGATTTTTAAGCTCCGTCCGGCAGAGCGGAGAGTGTCCTTCGTTTTATTTTCACGCTCAAACGCACGCGAGCTGAAACGTATAAATGGTTGACTACCGCGCCGCCTCATCGCCACCCACATCCACCCACCGCCCTCATGGGCTGCTGTTCACCCTTCTAGCAGCTTTCTGACAGTTGAAGGTTGCGTAGAAAATAAAAACGGCATGGAAGAAGCCAAAAAAAAAGCTGAGAGAAAGCCAAACAACAAAAAAATTACACAGCTTTAGCCGGCAAAACCCCGGCCACCCCCTTTAGCACCACCCTCCATCCTAACCTCCACCCCTGCTTTTGTTGTTGTTGCTGCTGGCCGGCCATCTTTTATTATTTCGGATTGGCACCCAGTTTTTATGTTTGCGTAGCATTATCAAAAACAAGGGGACAACGCGCACAAGCACACTCTCACACTTACACTTATACGCGGGGGTTGCAGACTCCCCCATTAGAAAGAGAAGGGGAGTCGCAGGACGACGACGTCTTCTTTATCGTTTTGGCTTTGCGCCCATTTCAGCCATCCATGTTTATGTTATATATGCCCAGCGAAGACCCAAAAGCCAAAAGCCGGGTCCAAGCCAAAAATACCACCACCAGATGACCCTCAACCACCCAGTACGCCCACGCAACCCCCCTTTTATTTTCCCGTTTCTATTTTTTTTTTTTTTCATCTAGCCCAGGGGCTGTGCAGTCGAAAAATTACGCAGCCATTGAACTCGATATAGATATATGAGTGCGTATATAGATGCAGATAACAGATAAGTGCAGAGCAATGACAAATGTCTGACCCCCAAAAAATGGGCACACTTCTAACATACTTTCTATAGAGAGACACAAAGTTTAAAGTGATGTATAAATTGAGTTTTATAAGCTACTTTATAAAATCTTACCTTTAGGAATTTAAACTTAACTAAACCTTATTAGGTAGGAATGTTAAAGAAAGAAGGACAAAATTCCTCAAATTCTCTTGGAAAGCCAAGAATACATTTAAAATATTTTAAGACTTTTTATCCAACGTCTGAATAAAATATTTTTAAGTTTTTTCAAGTAAATCCACGTTGTTTTTAGAAATATTAAGTATACGCCCTTAAAACCCCTAAGCACTACCAAACCACAAAAAAAAAGAAATTTATCTATATTTTATGAGTAACATTTAATATCGAGTTATTTATATGAACTTATTCGAATTGGATTGTTTATTTCAGCCGTTGCTGTGATAAGAAGAGCTGTGGTAACCGCAACGAGACGCCATCGGACCCCGTCATTATTGATCGGTAAGTAGTCATAGTTCATTCTCCTCTTCCAACATACACATCCCCAACCTGGACATCCGCCTCCCTGTCCAAGGACCTCCTCCTGTTGCTCTGCCACACACAAAAGATGACATTTTAAGCTGCTTTTCATCATCGTCGCTGGCTTTTTATTTTGTCAGCCTGCTCTGTTCTGCGGCTGGTGTATGCGTATCGTTGATTTATTGGCATTATTATCAACTGCAATATAAAACATGATGCGGCAGACATGCAAAGAGCTCGAAAAGGGGGGTATTTTCCCTTTATTCGATGGCAGGGGAGCTGAAATGAAAGCAGAAGCTGCAGTCTGGGAGGCAGCGAGTCCATCGAGCGAGAGACAAACAAAAATTCATCAAAATGGCAGCGGCAAATTCTATTTTCATAAATTGTAAATTGAGACGAGTTCGCGGCAATCCGACACGCCCTCCATAAAGCCACTTATTTGCCGGGAAATCCCCAACCGCCAACCGACTGACGACTGTCGCGTGTCAGTCGAATTATGTTAATTGTGTGCACATCCTTGCGGCCGCCACGCCCCCTGCTCCTTATCCTGGGGAGTGTGTCCTTCCTAATTGGCTTCGGAAATATTATTTGAGTGCAGGAAATTAGAGGAAACCAAAAATGCAAAGCCAGTTATTAAGGAAACATGCGGTTAAATAAATCTAAAACGAGATTTGAGACAATTAAAAAAAGTGTCCTTATTTTCAAACAATATTTTTATATTTAAAGTACATTTATAAATTGTAAGGTATTTAATTTTCTAGAAAAGATTATCCAAAAATATCCATAAAATTAAGAAATGTTACCTAAAATAATAGATTTTTTCCACATTTCAAGTACTTTCATTCCGACTATGCAAGCCCTTAATTCAATACCCCTGAATCCACCTCCATTGAGTCAAGTATTTGAATCCAACCTTTCTTGGCCATCCTCCAGCTGCCATTTGCCATCGCCGCCAAACTCATTGAGTTGTTAAACAATTTTGTAGTCCCCAGGCCCCATTAAATTGAGGCACACCTTATGCAGATGATAATCAGTGGCTCTGTGTGATTCCCCGTAAACCAGATCGCCGGACCTCCGGCGAAGGGTGTCCCCAAGTATTTGCCTATGTGGACAACTCCACAACTCCACATCTCCATCATCTGTATGCCGATTCCGATTCCAGATGCAATTGCCATTTGTAGGACTGCCCACAATGGTGGTTTTCTGCGAACCCAAGATCTCTACGCTTAATGATTCTATTATTAAAGTGGGCAGCCAAAGTGTCTGCGACCGGTTGGCTGGCAGCCTGCCTCTCAGAGACAATCAGCCCATAATTGGTGTCATAATTAAATTTAATTGATTGCCCCTTCTGGCTGCCCCCACCTGAGCTTGCAAATTAGGAAGTGGCCGGGGCAAAAATCAGTTTGGAAGTGGCAAAAAAATACAAGCAGCCAGCCAGCCAGTTCTTGCCACACAGCCACCGATTCGTAGATGCTGAAAAAATAAAACTCGATCTCGGTAAAGATCACAGATCGCCCGCTGCACATTTATGATCTTGTTAAAATTGTTGCTCCAGAATGCCATCCGTTGGAATAACAGTTACACTTTGCCGATCTCCAGCTGATGATATTACAACTCCTGGTCCCTCGTCCACAGATATGTATGTGGCATCTCTTTTTCTGCCCCACGTGCCCGGGCGCGACACTTTGCGCTTGATATTTACGATTATTAATTAATTTCTCCTCTATTTATTCGCCTTGTTAGCCAGGCTGGCAAGCTGGAGGCTCACACATTGCATTGGCTAATCCTATCTAGAGATGGAAGCGTGATAGAGAATTTAAAAAGGGTGAAATACAAGGTCTAAGATATTTTCTCAAAATATTTTGGACAAAAACTGAGTCAATTAATATGAGCCGAACCAATAAATTTGCATTCATATTTAGTGTTTAGATTCAACGTCTAACTATCAAAAGGCCTGAAATTTATTAAATAAATATTTACCAAAGTTATTATCGAACCTATGCTGAAAGCATAGACCTTCAAATTTTTTCCTTGCATAAATTTCAATTCAATTCTAAATTAATAGAACAATTATCATGCAATATATACACCAAAAAGAAAAGAATAGAATTTTTAAATATTATAAGATTAGTGTTAAGATTTAAAATTTTTTTTTTAATATTTTAAATGCTTTATTTGAATTTAACTTGTGTATCAAATTGTATAAATACTTCTCTGAGAAAGCTGAGATGTTTAGCAAAAAGATCTAAATAGGTAATTTTATTATTTTCAAAACCTTCTCAAGGGATCATCTCCCAACGAAATTTCTATTGAGCTATCGTGACACGCTCACACCTGTGATCCCCGCCAGCTCCCTGTGTCCGCATGTCGCATTTGTCAGGCGGGCTGTAACTTTTGTCGGCATTGCATTCCATTCCTGCGACTCGGGCGCATATCAATCACCAGCTGAAAACACTCCTGGCCGCCAGGTTCCTCCAGCAAGCAGCTACCATCTCCAATCAGCTTAAAAGGCGGCATGGATCAGTCGGTGGCCAACAGAGCCAGCCCATCCAGCTTCATCAACCCGCTCATTGATATGCCAGTAGATCATGCCGCCGGCGGGAAGACAAAGACCCCGGGATAATCTATCTGTTCGCAACTAAATTTCGCCTTTGCCAGTGGAGGAGGAGAAGGAGGAGAGTCCCCAGCTAAAGCGCTAACTTGCCCGGGGGTCCAACGCATTTTGCCACTCAGCCTTTTCAGCCCCTTTCCATAAACCCACCGCCGATCCAAGCGAAACTTTGTCAGCGGCGCGCAACAATTGGAACTGATTGAAAATTCCAAATCGGGGGATCCAGGGGATACGAGAGATCCAGGGGACACCGACTTGCATTTCCAAGTGGCTGACGAAAGCCAAAAACTGATACGATATGACAACAGCAACAGCAAAACAACACCAGTTTGGACCCAGGGCAACTACCGACTACCAGGTATCTCTCGCTCTCTCTCTCGCTTTTGGCCAGATATACTGACGTTCGGACGTGTGCCGTGAGAGCTGCAGGAAAACAGTAGCCACTGGTCACTATCCACTGGTCACTGGCCACTAGCCACATTCGCCGGCGATCTGCACATGTTTTATTGATGAATTTCTGTTATTCATGCAAGCGATCTGCAGTTGGCCACAAGAGGAGGCTTTGGAGATGCCGAAATTGTGCACACAATGAGCTGGGGCACAGTGGGTCAAAGAGTGGCGAAAATGGGTTAAAAAAATTTAAAAAAAAAAAAAAAGAGTGTTAAAATATCAAGTTATCTGCCTAAATCGGACCTCTAAAATTCACAGCTTTATTATAATTTACAAATAATAATGCAGTGGTTTTTATTTAATTTTATAATAGCTTGAGTCGTTATTATATTATTAGGGATAGTACGTTTTCTTTAACTTTCAAAGTTATGAAAATTAAAATATATTATAATAAATTACCTGTGTTATATATTTCACTTCCGATAATTTTATGCTAGCACCACTGTGGAATAGATCGCTGGGATTTGCAATTACCTGGGGCAGGTGATGAGGGCTTAGTAGCAGTCTCGGTCTCGGTTGCACTCGTGCTCTCTCTTTCCTTCTTGAGGGGGCCTTCTTTTTTATTTATTTATGATTTGCGAAGACACTGGACACTCGCATTGTCTCCGGATCGATTGCCACGCATTTTGTCTCTGCCCTTTTCCCAGTTTGTTGGCATGCACTTCGTGTGTGTTCCATAATTAAGTGAATTTAAAGCTCACTTCGGCGGTGGTCGTTGTTCTGGTTGTTCTTGTTGTCCTGGTTGTATTTCGAGGTATTCGTGTTGTTGTTTCTGCGACATGTTCCACGTTTTTGTCACACATTTCCACCGATCTTGAGTTTTTATTTTATTTGGTTTATTTCGCGTATCTCTCCTTGTGTCCGCTCCATTTGGGATATCATTTCTTTGATTCACATCTGGCGTATGCGTAATGACTTGAATTATACTGACAGCCATGCAATTGGCATCGTTATCGGCGGCGGTCATTAAAATCGTTATCGCGTGACAACCGAAGCGCGTTCGACTTTTTAATTTGGGTAAATTGTGGGGCAATCAAAAAAGAGTGTCTACACCCACCACTCGAACACCGAAAGCGATGTAACAAAAGCTGAAAACAGAAAACAAAACAGCAAAGAAAAAAGAGGAAAACTTAGTATGGGTGGAAAAGCTCTCAGGCTAACAATCGAAAATTTGCCACTCTTGCATTTATCTACGTCATTGGCGTTTTCTTCGCTTTATTTCAATTTTCTATATTTGCCAGCGTTTTGTCCACCGCAGCGCCAAATAAACTAAGTGCCAACTCCCGGCCAACTACCCTTCGAATGCCCCGCCCCCTTTTTGGCCCGCAGCAAATAGAATTGACATTTTGTGGTGTCCAATATGCAAAAACAAAGGGGGGAAAAGGTTTTACAGACGCGGTCAGAAGAGAGAATTCTAAATGTTTGGAAATACAAAGAATTTAAAGACAGTATTTAAAATAATAACAACAAAAAAAATCTAAGGTTTTGTAAAATGCCTCATTGCCTCAGTCCCCCCGGGGGCGCCAAAAAAAATTAAACAGCAGTTATATTAAAATTTAACAACAATAAGGTATAATATAACTAATATTTGAAATGTAACAACCATAAATAATACCCTTCGAAACCCATTTTCTTAACTTTGAGTGTGCTGCGTGAGGTGAGCAAATGTTTTGGGCCATTCATCGCATGCCTTGATAATCGCACTCGCGCTAAAAATGATGACAAAACTGCTGCTAGTTGTTGGCTACAGTTTTTAATTTTCTAAATGCATTCCAGCCACCTGGCCGGGTGGCTGATTGACGTGCGTCCCGGTGGCCTGAGGAGGTGGTTATTCGGGGGGAAAACAAGAAGTCCTGGCTGCCAGTTGGCCTGCTCAAATATTCAAAGCGAGGCAAACAGAAAATGTGAAAAAAGAGACGAT